CTGTAGGGGCTGGAAGGGACCTCTAGAGATCATTGAGTCCATCCCTCTGTAGTGCAGGCCCCCTACAGCAGAACTGATCCCACTGACTCAGGCAATGCCTCTCCAATCTTTGCAGCTGACTGCCTTTCTCGCTTACTACTACAATGAAGATTTTAAAAAACCTATTCAAACATTAGCATAAAACATGCACGTATTTAAAAACTCAAATCCACCATACTGATTTTTTGCAGCATTTTCCATCAAGAAGGTGAATTCCTTCATGAAGCGATGGCACAGTTGGTTCTTCTCCGGAGTCCCCGACATCATGGTAAGCCAGACGGGCTCCCCAATCCGTGGCATGGTGTACAGGTTGCAAATAGTTGTTCTGGAAAACAAACAAATATCAGAACATTAATGGGGAGTCAGCTCTCTGAAAGGTAGATAATAGCAGGATGAGGGGAATTGGTTTCAAGTTGAAGGAGGGAAGGTTTAGGTTGGATGTCAGAAGAAGTTTTTTACTGTGAGAGTGGTGAGGTGCTGGAACAGCTGCCCAGAGAGGCTGTGGATGCCCTGTCCAGCCCTGGAGGTGTTCAAGGCCAGGTTGGATGGGGCCCTGGGCCTGGTCTAGAATCAAATGTGGAGGTTGGTGGCCCTGTCTGTGGCAGGGGGTTGGAGATTCATAATCCTTGAGGTCCCTTCCAACCCTGTCCATTGTGTGATTAAACAAAGCAAAGAAGGGCAGAGATCCCCACTCCAATCACTTACTGCAGCACTGAGGTTGTGCTGCTCTTTCTCCCAGCAGGCACCCCCCCCTGCAGAGCAGTCCTGCAGGCACAGCTGTGTGTGCCTGAGCTCCCTTGAGCCCAGCAGCGCTCACTGCCCTGCTCTGAATGGAGAGCAGTGAATGATTTTGTTGGGGTTATTTCCCTGCTTTCACTGCATCTCATTCACAACTCGTAACTGCTCCAGGGTTAATCTGTCACTAGAGCAGATACATGTGTACCTGATTTACAGAAGTGCCCTGAGTTGCTCTTTGCTGTACCAAGAGTCGCATCCCCATGTGGCTCACAGAGGGACCAGGTTATGCTTTAACTCCAGTACAGCGTTTGAGCATCAGCTGTGCCATGGCTTCAAGGTTTACACACCTACCCACACCCTTCTGACTCCACAGACAGCAGATGTATTCTTGGAACTTCGGCTTTGCAGTAAGACACCAGATCACAACCCCTCTGATTGCTGAACTCATCTAAAACCAACCCACAGTTTTGTTTTAAAGGCGATGCCTATATGATGGCACTCTGCGAACTGACACTTCCATCACACTGAAGAATGAAACCCGAAAAAAAGGCTCACAAGGCAATGAGTGATCAGCTCAGGTTTCTCCCCACCTCATGAGCTGCTTTTTCCAGAAGCGGCGCCTTTGTTTCGCAAGACAAAGATTTACGTTACTCCAGCAATGCCCAGAAATGCCTCAGATTAACACAGACCTGCGTCGGTCTGAGACTCACAGCAGTCCCAGGGCTGCCGAGCACATCAGGCAGGCACACACTTGGGCTGCAGCTGCCAAATTTTCAGTGGTTTCACATTTAAAGTGAAACTGTGCAGCAGAGCTGGCACCGACCCCAGTGCAAGGCGGCAGGAAGGGAGCAGCAGGGGTGAGGGTGGGAGGCTGGTGGAGTTCTCTGCCTTCTTTTGCCTTGTTTTTGCCTGCATCCAGGCCCGGGGCCCCCAGCAGAAGGACACGGAGCCGTGCCCAGAGGAAGGTCAAAGGGTGCCCAAGAGGTTGGAGCTGCTTTCCTGTAGGGACAGGCTGAGAGCTGGGGGTGTTGGGCCTGGAGAAGGAAAGGTGAGACCTCCCTGCAGCCTTCCCGTTCTTGAGGGGAGCTTACAACAGGAGGGGGAGTGACTCTGCACGAGGGCAGACAGCTCACAGATGCTCACAGTACCCCTGGCCCAGCTGGGTGCTGCTCCCCATTGCCAATGCAGGCTGCTCTGCTGGGCACACGCGTGTGCAAGGGCAGCAGCGCAGCAGTGAGCCGGGGCTGGCAGTGGGGTCATGGGGAGGCAGCTTTGTGTTCACTGCCCATAGACCGGAGGTGAAAGAGGCCCAAATAAAGGGGGAGATCCCAAGTCTGTGAATTTAAAAGCTGGATGAGTTTCAAAGCCCAAACCAAGCATCAGACCCCTCAGACACAGCTGACTGGAGATAAATGTGACGACAGCCTAAAATAAAGCTTATTTCTCCTTCTTATGCAAACTACCCGAGCCAGGGCTCCTGCAGCTAGCAGCTCCACCGCTTTGAAAAAGAGAAACTACTTGTAAACTAAACCCAACATATTAAAATATTTGTTTTCGTTGAAAAGATAGACCGAGTCTTGTGATTCGTTATTTACTATTCTGGTAACCCTGGCTGCATCTGCAGCCGATAGTGTTTCCTCAGAGACAGATCAGATTGCTCTGGCTGGCAGCCAGCAGGCATGTGACTGCAGCACGGGGAACCTCCACGCCGAGCCCGCATGGAGCAAGGGCAAGGATTAACTGCTTGCCAGCCCTGCGAGCAAGCAGCAACGCTCTCCTTCCTCTGGTGAGGAAACAAAGCAAAGCCATCGAACTAATAATATAAAAAAAGCACCAAAAATATATATATTTTTTAAGAAAAGCACTGCTTCTTCAGTTAGCCAGATTAAAAAAAAAATAAAAAAAAAGCTAGCAATTAATAATTGAAATTAACCCTTTTGAGAACCCCCTCCCTCACCTGCCTTCCCCCAGCATCCCGGTGCCCTGCAGCATTGCATGGCAGCACACCAACGGGGCACAGCTGGCAGCAGCCCCTGCTCTCATGGGGCTGCAGTATGCTTAAAGTGTTTGAAATCTGGAAATCATAGAATGGTTGGGTTGGAAGGGATCTTAAAGATCATCCAACTCCACCACCAGCTGCCCCCAAAGCTCAGCTGCCTGGCACCCATCCGCAGCCTTGGGATCCTCCAGGGATGGGGCACCCACTCTGGGCAGCAGTGCAGGCACCTCACTGCCCTTGGACTGAAGGATTTCTTCCTTACATCTGACCTTAATCTTCCCTCTTTTAGTTTAAAGCTACTCCCCATTGTCCTGTCACTATCAGACACACAAGAAGTCGCTCTCCCTCATCTTTTTGAACTCCCCTCATGATCCAGGGAGGCTGAAATCAGTACGGGTGGGAGTGAGGGGCTGGGCACTCTGAGGCTGTGGGGCTGCTCACCAATGGGACTGGCAGCTGGGGGAGGAAGCAGCCTCTTGATGAGAGGTGATGGCCTCAAGATATGCCAGGAGGGAATAGGGTTGGATATCTGGAGAAACTTAGTGGCTGGCCACTGGCACAACTGCCCAGAGAGTGAAGAGTCACCGACCTGGAGGTGTTCAGAATGGGGCATGTGGCACTGGGGGACACGGTCAGTGGGCATGGTGGGGTGGGTTGGGGGTGCACTTGGTGATCCCAGAGGTCTTTTCCAACATCAACAACTCCATGAGGCAGGATCCCTGCAGCTCCCCTTTCCCACCAGCAAGGCACTGCTGACCCCGGCACGGTGCTGGGTGCTGCAGTGTAGTGACAAAGCTTAGCATCTTCTTGTGCAGCACTTCCAAAAAGAAAAAACATCAGTGGTTTGTAAAAGATACTGCACATCAGTTTGCTCCCTGGTCTCACTCCCTCCTCCCATAGTGCAGGAGTGGGGTTTCCCTGTGCAGGGGGTAAAACCCACTGCTGCTCACAGCACTGTAAGCTGCTTACAAACTGCTGGCATAAAGCAGGATGGAATCTGGCTGCCAGAAAGGAGCAGAGGGTGTTTCCCTGGGCCTGTACACACTGCCTCCTCAGCACTGCTGCCTGCTACACGGCTACCCATCAGCTGCAGAACCAGCACCGCATCGGCCTTGGGGACTGAGGGAGCTGAAGGGTTTATGCAAGTGCAGTGGCTTATTTCACAAGTCATGTGTCTGCACATCTGACATCCAAAGAGAGTTTTAAGCCTTTAAGTCAAGTGTTCATAGCCAAATCCATCACCACTTTAGAACACAAAAATTGGTGCATAATGAGTAATGGCACAAGGGCAGCCCTGGAGCTGGGCACCACATGGATGATGACTGTGTCAATGGCATCCATCTGCAGCAGCAGTCAAGGAAAGCAGCTGTGCTATTGCTCCAGAAGTCTGTCCTCACCAAAACATTTTCGAAGAAACAAAGTGCCCACAATGAGTTAAAACTGCACAGGATTACGCTTTAGAAAAGGCAACCCACTGAAGTCAGCACCCTTCTTCCCTCCAGCAGAATTTGCTTAAGAGGGTAGAAATCAGCGTGAGTTTCAGGTTCAGCAAAGGACTCGGGCTCCTGACTTCCCCGTGACTCCAGTGGGGAAGCAGGCGCCCAAGGAGATAACAGCAGCCTAAATGGGTTCGCTGAAGCCGTGCCAAAATGTCTTTGCATCCTGTCTTCAGTGCTTAAAGATCCCTTTTTCCCCCTTACTGCACAGACGTTGCTTTGCTGCACAGTGCAGCCCCTGCACAGCACTGCGAGGTCCTTGCAGCTGGGATGGCTCCCAGCACACTGCGACGAAACCAGCGCGTGGCCCAGGTCTGCTGCCCCAGGAAATTCAGTTATCCGACATTAAACTGGATTTAATTCACCTCGTTACGCTATTAAAGAGTAATATTTATATCACCATGGAAACCTCTGCATAAAACTGGTCGTTCCACACGGGGTTACGCAACCAGCGGGTCATGTGCACCATGTCCTACAATGGCTGGGGCGAGGAGTGCCAGCCCAGGGGACGTGACTGCCCTGCCCTTCCCTGCCCAGCTGCAGCTGCCAGGTGAGCTGCTGGCCCCATGGCCCCGCTGCGCTGCCCAGCCAGAGCTGTGAGCCGTGGGGCAGACGGCTGGGCCTGCAGGCTCAGCTCTCCTGTGCTCAGCTCCAGGTACCCACCCCTCCTGTCGCTCTGAGACTGTTTAACTTGGAAGGAAATGGAGAATGTGCAAAGTCCACCAAGTGGGGGGGGGGGGGGGGGGGGGGAGAATGTTTTGGGGGAAGTTTCAGGGAAAGCACACGGGGGATGCTGTTATCAGGGAATGGGAACACAAAGAACTTACAGGGAGAGGAGGGGGAGGGCAGGGAGAGCAGAGCAGAGGGAAACCCGTGGCTGCTTGGAGTTGCTGAACTCGTCTCAGCCCCCTGGGCAGAATGTGCGGCTCCCAGAAGTTTTGCGCATCCTCTGCTCGGCTCCTGGCACAGCTCACCCCATCCACGTGCTCTGCCGTGCCTCCTGTCCTTACCCAACACATCCCCTGTGCTTCCCTGGGGGGAGGGTCTACAGACACAAACAAATCAAAAATATACAGTGCCTTTCCCCTGAAACACCACCCAGCCCATGGTGCTGAACTACAGACAAATGAGTGAGCCTTCATGAGGGATCCTGAGGGTAACACACCTTCCAGAATCAGAATTCTCTGGTTTAAACATCAGCACGTTGCCTGCTGTCATGTCTTTAGAAAGGAGCTCCATGCTGGCTGTGAAAGGAAGCACCCTGCCACTCCCAGCTGAGAGGGGATGAATCACTTGAAACAGATGGATTTCATTTTATTTCCCTCCCCATTACTTAAACTACGGAAAGAACATAAAGTTAAACGTCAGGGATGTGCTTATCTGTGTTACTACATACGTTAACTGCTGAGAGAGGCTCTCTGCAGGTACTGATAGCAAGAGATTGCAGCAGTGTATTTTTCTGAGTGAAGAAGATAGATCTCCTTCCAAGTACTGGTTATCTGAAACTCGTTCAGAGAGAAGAGTTTAGAGTGGGGTGAAGGTCTTGCTTTGTTCACATCAAGAAAACACCAACCAAAGGAGCCCAGAGTGGGCTTGCAATTCTCTACCCCTCCATGGATCTTAAGACAAGAGGTTGCTGGGAGCTCATTATCACTTAAAGCACAGAAATCGTTGGTCACTTCTGCTCTGCTCAGACCAAGCCCTTGTGGATACGCACACCTGGCAAAACCAACAACCACAAACAGAACAGGGTGGCCTGCTATCTCCAGGTCCTCTATGGTACTTACTTCTAAAGAAGATGTTAGACGTTATACACTACATTTCTAGAAGAGAAAACATTTTCCTTTCGAGATAAGACCTCCAAAGTCCTGAAAATCCTGCACTAAGGAGGAAGACCTTCTAGACTGCTTAAGTGCTTTTGAAGAAACAGCCACGAAGGATACAATAGAAACTGCTCACCTGAATTCATTGAGGGCGTCAACAATTCTGTTATATGCCAAACTGCGCTGACTGGCATCAGCTGATCTACGACTCATTTTCATAGCCTTGAAAACAATCATTAAACAGATAAGCAACATCAGACATAGCTGCAGAAGCAGAAAAAATGGAAAACAAAGTCATGTGTTTGACTTTATCTGTCATGCAACTAGACATGCAAATAATTTTTTTTTAAGTGATAAAATGATGGTACAAGGGCCAGCATTCCTCTCTGAGAAAAGACAGGTGAGGCTCATGCCTTTGCAGCCTCATTCTCCTGTGCTTTTCATCCTGAAAGGCATAAAAAGGCTTACAGCTTTTACTGCAGCGGCAAAGTAACCACTAAGTATTTCCTAGAAGAGAAGCAAATCTAACCACATATTTGAAAGTTTCCTACGTATCAGAATCAGGGCTGAAGATGAAATAAATAAAACTGGAAAGTGAAAAGCTTGATATTTATTTCCAGTCTGGAATATCCTAAAGATAGGCTCTTATCCTGCAGTCCCCAGTGCTCAGATACAGCTGAAGCAGGGAAGTAAACGCAGCCCTGAAAGCACCTTTCTCCCTTTGCTGATGCAGAGCTTGCTGGGAGCCAATGCAGCCTAAGGCCTGTTGTCATTTCAGCAGTCTCTGTAGTACAACACAGCAGTTCTGTCTGCGCTCTGTGCTGCACTTTAGCAAGCAACAGAAAACATCAGAGACGTTGTGGAGCACAGATCCTTGCTGGTGCAGTTTCAATATCAGGCAGCAATAGGTCCCACTTTTGTGAACGAGTAACAGGAGTAGGAAATGAAATGGGCTGAAAGGGAACTTACAGCAACGGAAGCAAAACATCAGAAGAGGCTGTGTTTACCTGTTCGATTGCACTCTTCAGTTTGTTCATGTGACTTTCAAAAAGTGGGAAGTGTGAGAAGAAGAATTCATTAAACTTGTTGTTTTCATCTTCGTCTCTTGAGAGTGAAAAAATAACTCCGATCGCTATCTTCTTCTTCCTAACAATTCCTGGGCTAGGACCAGAGCTGTCATCTGACAAGTTAAAGCTTTCATCCATGGACCTTGAAACATGGAAAAAACAGAAAATTAATGCAACCCACTGTTTAAAGCTGTACCTTGGTTTTCCTATGTAACTAAATTCCAGAACATTTAACTTCAGCAAACGCCTTCTGTTTGCATGTGTTGTCAAATCAACACCACTGATAACCACTTTGCAGTTCTTCAGAAGCAGCCCTTAGCAGGCCTTGCAGACAGCAAATCTGCAGCCAGATTCTAAGCATCTGTGGGATTAGAACATGGCATCCTCGCTCTCTCTTACTTCTGCCACGAATTTGCATTTTGACTAGGATCTTAGGGCTTCTCAAAAGTACAGCCTACAGGTTTATATTTTGCTAAGGGTCTCCCAGTCAGTGCAAATGGCCACAAGGAAATGGAGACTACAAAGATCAGGTGTCGAACTACTGCCTGACATACACCTTTGTAAGTACTGAAAGCACCAGCAAGGACAGACGTGCACACGCAAGGGCAGAATCAAGCTGAAAACAGTGGAAAACTGAGGGAGGCATCCAGCATTATCAATTCCTGCTCACCATCGAGGGAAGACCCCGTTCTCCAAGCTGGTCGTCTGGCTGCGCCTCCAACGCCTCTGGTAACTGCTGGCACAGCTTTTGTTGAACGAGGAGCCCGGAGATGGAAACGGAGTGATGAGCAGACTGCTAAGAGATGCTGCAGTAATTAAATAGAGAAATATATCAATCTCTCCGGAAGAAAAGAATGTTTGGAAAATTATACCAGCAACCAAACCGTGCCCCTGAATATACCCTGGTGTTGCTCACAAAGTGCCTTCTCTTTTGCTTATCTATGCTTCTCATCTGAAAATAATATGTCTATAACAACATTAGCAAGCTACACAAGCAATGCAAGGGTGGAACAGTCTTGTAGCTTCATATAACAAGCAGCACACAGGCTGCACCTTGCTCATCAACCCTGAGTATTGGGAAATAAATTCTCTGTGGAAAGGAGTAATGCTAAGTGCATCTTTAAGAGCCTTCCCAGCCCTACCCCTAAGTGTCCCAACCCCCTGAGTGGAGATGGCAGTGGCTGGGGGGCTCTGGGGATGCTAGCTCATGTTTTAACATTAACATCACCCTCAGTTTGGTAAGGAGATGGCAACAAGCACTGCTTGGAAATGCCGTCCACTCATTCCAATATTTAATTAGGCTTGCCTATTTGCAATGTGCTTTAATAAATCACACTGCTGTTCAGATAGGCTCTGTGGGGCTCTATGAAACAAACACCCTCAGTGCATGAGGCAGTATATGGAATACGTATATGGAACAGAAAAAATCACATTTCAGCACAGAAAGTTCCTGTATGGTGTCTGTGTGTTTCAGTAACGTGACGGTTGAGCATCTAGGGACTATTACTGAATGTTTCCTGAGCCTATAGGGTTAATGGAACTGACATTACCAGATCTTGCTATACCGCTGTCTCTGTCCTCATTCTGCTCCCTCCCAGGCATATCCATAGGGTTGCTGTGAACTGTAAAACAAGGAATACCAATTAGCAGGGGAATATACAGTTCCTTTCTTGTTTGCCGATCTCCATGTAATTAATGAAACAAAAACATGCTCATTAATTCAGATCAACAGCACTGCACAAGGCCATCACCAAGAAAGGCTGCTTAGCTGAGCAAGCCAAAGCACTGATCTGAAAAGCTTGTGTGTAATTTCCTGAAGTCCATATATCTCTTTTAGTCCAAATTGCATCAGGCTCACATTCTCTGTTTCTTTACGTCAATGGCTTTCAATAAAGTTTTATTCCACTCAAAGGATGTTTACCACATAGCTCAGAGTATAGACAAGAAAAAATCAACACTCCACTCCTCTAACAGCATTCCCAGCTATTATATAATTTTAAAAGCATTTTACAATGCTGTCTTGAAAAAAATAAACAGTTCTAAATTGCAAGCAGTGCATTGGTTGTTCAACAAAGCCGTAAGCCGTCCAGAATCACAGTCTGCATTTACAGAAGATCAAAAGTGTATCAGGCTTAACAGCCTCTACGCGTGATGTATTTTACAAATACGCCTGTGAAATAGAAGCTACTCAGCCATGGAAATAAGACCCATCTACTGAAAGCAAGAGGCATCCACTTTATATCAGCGCAGGTGAGTTTTAATTGTTACAGCTTGTTGAAGCGAATCCAAATGAAAATAGCTCGATGCTATCGTGACAAATTATTTCTAAAAAGATGAAATCTTGTATAAGTAAGTTTACAAAACAGAAAAACCAACCGAGCAGCCCCAAAGAGGGCTACTGAAATACCTGCTGTCCTCTGTATCCAAAAAGATAAGAGAGCAGAGATCGCTGTCTGCTTTGTATTGAAAAAATACCAGTCTTATTTCCAAGGCAGTGCTACCAACGCACACGTGGCTGTCCCAGCAGCTAGACTAGGCACACAGCACAGCACACAGCACACTGCAAACCTGCAAAGAAAGAGGCGCTCCGGATCAGGCGGAGCGGACCTTGTTCAGAGAATGCCCGCCTGGGGCTGCAAAGCTGTGAAAGACCTACATGGCAAAACGTAAAATACACATGAAAGAATGAGGTTAGTAAAGCAGAACAGTCTGTAGGGAGGGGGCCAGGGCAGGGAGAAGATACAAGCCAACATAAATGCAGGGTAACGTTCGCAGGAGAACAGCTCTTAACGCTTAACAAGAAGGTTGATTCAAGGAGCATGGCTCACAGTGCAACTACACACTGCTGTGACACTAAAATAATAGACAAAGCTTTAC